CATGTGTTCATGGATACTCGACTCGCACCGCTCATATCTGCCCACCAGCTCGTGATGAATGTTGACCTTGGGATTAGTGTGAGATGTGATAATGTTCGACACAGCAGGCTTCGGAGCCTTATCACAGACATCCGTTGATGTCCAGTTTGATAACTATCGTGCTTGATATCATTTAGCAATGTCGCTACGAACTCGATTGTGAAGTGTTGAGGAATGGGAATGAGCGTCATACTTAGCTGTTGGAGGTATCTAGATACCCATGTTGGACGGATATCACAGGTTGCACTGTGTTTAAGCTGCTAAATCGGGAACTAGTAATATGCATATGCGCTGTAACCTGGCCACTCCGGGCCACTCCGGGCTTGGTTGCACAGTGCATATCACAGTAGCCGCAAGATGGTGACGACCCCTCTTAACTGATACTCCAAGCTTCAGGGGTTACGGCTGATACTCTGACCACTACTCAAGTATGTGCCTGATGAACTTGCCTATCATCAGACTGTCTAACATCACCATTACTTCACCATATACTTTTTCTTTTCAAAAAATCATTCATGCACCCAGGTAGTGCTGAGCTATATGTGTGCCCTGTCCTATGTTGCGGGACTAGTCGCTCAGATGTCAGCGTCAATTGATGGGACGAACGAAATGAATATGTAGATACCCAGCTTCAACCTTGAGGTATCATAAACGACTTCGCGTGGTCTAGGAAATAAGGTAAGAAAGGAAGGGAACACAAGAGAAGAAGAATAATAATAATAAAAGGGAGGGCCCCTCCTACTAATCGTAGGTATGTCATGGTCAGTCTATACAAGCCCATATTCCTCAGGCCTAGAGAGACTACATGTGTGAAACATGGCCTGTTGCTTTGATTTAAAAGCGCCACTAATCATGGGAAAGCGAAGTCAAAGTGAAGGGTCATCCTATTCAGAAAATGAGAAACGGAGGGATGTAGCCCACTACGCCACCGGACCGCCGAATCTACCTGTGGATATCTTTGTCTACAACCATACATGCTTTCGTTCCATAACGCCCTATTCGCCAAGGTATCACAATCAAAACCATCCGAAACGTTTCGCTATGCTGTAAAGTGACATCTTGACACCATGATCCGCCACCATCTTCATGCAGAAACAGCCATGGCAGGCTGGATTGCCTCCGGCAACGAGTTCTCCTGTACCTGCTCCTCTGTCTTCGGCCTTTTGACAACACCTTCCTCGATAACGGGAGCCTCATTCTTCCGCTTCGCTTTCCCGTTGCCGTTAGCACCCTGGACCTTGGCACTGGATCCAATATCCAGTCCAACAGCCTCATCAGCCTGCTTCGCCATCTCCAACAAGTGGCTGAGGCCCAAGTTCTCGCACACAGCCGTATAGCTCTTGCAGGACTGCACATTCTTGTACGCAGCCTGCTTGCCTGGGATGATCTGGTTGAGCATGTACTTCGTGTTGCCGAACTTGTTCGCCGTCTCCATCGCGAACTTGAGATATGTTTCTGTCACCTCGTGCCATGGGGCCATACCACCCTGCTCAAGGGTCCGGAAGCAGCTCGAGTTCTTCTCTGCCGCTGTGGCTATCATGGCGCCGTCGACGCCGAACTCCTCGATGAGCTTCGTAGCGGAATCGCGATCCTCCACGTCACCGTTCATCAGGCAGGCGACCCCCGCCTCCCTGCATATATCGGCGATCATCTTCAGTTGACCCCTGATGGCCCGCTCCCTCGGCCGCATGGGTGTGGTCCGGCAGTGTACCGTCAGTCCTGTGATGCCCGTCGCAACCAGCCTCCTCACCAGGGCCTCCGTCTCGGCGGCTGTCTCCAGTATCCTGATCTTCACGCTGATTCCGATCTGAAATTCTGGCACGATGCTCTTAACCAGGGCCTCCAGGATGGCGACCAATTTGTCGGGCGTCTTTAGCAGCATTGCGCCCATACCATCGTGTGTGCTAAATGGCTTGGGGCAGCCCGCGTTCACGTCTATTCCCGCGACATCGGGGGCAACAAGCCGGGCGGCGGAGACGGCGCGATCTGGGTCGGAAGTGCCGATCTGGAAGATATGTTTGCGACCCTCGCGCTCGGGATGCAGACGGTAGATGACTGATTCCTTGACGTTGGGTGGTGGTGTTTTCTGGCCCTGTGATGGGATGCGGACGAAATCGATAGTATTCGTCAACGGGTTGATTCGCCGCGTAGTGCCTAACATGGAACGGTCGACTGTTTCGGGGCCTGCGTGGACACATATCACATGTCAGCCGTGGGGGTGCAGCGACGAGAAGAAGGTGTTGAGAGAAACTGACCCCATACCAAGTCGGCACCATAATGAAGGGCGAGCAAGCGGGACGGCAACTCGCCCGACCTCACCATAGGCGCAAGGACAAGTTTGCCCCTGTAGTCCACGCCCCTTGAGGGAATGGGAACTTTGTTAATCGCCGCCTCAGACATCATGAGTGACTTCAGAAAGCGAAGGGTCATCACTGTCCTTGCAGTCCCAGCTGATTCTTGAAGTTGAAGAGGCGCAGTGGTTGGGGGTGGAGGGGCAAAAGATCTAGATGCGGCTCAAAATTTTAAGTCAGATAGCCTTCAGGCCATCCGGCTGTCGCAAACCCACTGTGGGGCCGACCCGTGTCAACTGGGACAGTAATGTACCAGACTGCTGGAAAGCCTGGTGGAGCGTTAGTACGGATTCAGGGAGAAAGGGAAATTGCAATATACAGCGTCTACGAAAAGCATGTATACATATATAAGATGTCACGAACATATCTGTAGAATGTCGGAGACTTTACGTCCAATGCCAAAATCAATTGTCGAAAGAACTCTGTGAAACTCAAGGGCGTCCATGGGTCCAACTACCTGCCTAGGTAGGAAAGTGATGAGGTGCATAGTTGAATACTTGAATCCCCAGCCAATCATACCGCGGTTTGATTTAGCCCCACAGCGGGAGGCTCCCGTGCAGAGCCGCATGCTTATGTACCTAGGTACCTAGACAAATACGTAAGTAAGTAGGTATAATATACGATCACAAATCGTTGATGCGACAAAATGGAGTGATCGCAAGATTATGTACTTGCTTCGGGTCCAAAATCTAGGCATTGTCTTCTTTGTTTGCTGTATCAGCATGCTACTCGATGCTGCACGTTTGTCCACGACTTTGGATAATTAATGCGAAAGTCTACTTCTAAACATAGTGAAGCCGCGCCTCTACTGTGCCATCATTCTGATTGGGAAACAGTCTCTACTTTGCCAACGTCCCAAAATGCCGAACCTAGGCTTTCCAGGGGTCTTGAGACGAGCTAGAGGCTGTGGAAGGCTTACATAGATCCGCTCGTATGGTAGGCAGATGAAGGATTGCCTCTAGGATAGAAACTATCTGTTCTACCTTGGGCGGTTGGCGATAGGGAGATCGTGATTGATACACTAAAGCAACCTGGAAATGGTAATGCCGAGTCGATAACTACCTGGCCATTGGTCCAAGTCATTGTTCATGTAGGTCCAGATTTACTGAATGGTGCACCTTACTAGGCCCTGGAAATAACCACGGGTAATTCTGATACCCATGGGTACGTACAGGTGGGTAATTTCTGGGCCATGTAGCATGGCTGCCACTGCCCCTGAGGCGTTGGTATAGACCGGAATATGTCTACTTCCATGGGAATAAAGCCTTCGACGTCCGGAGAACCAGGGTATAAGCCTACCCTTTTGGTGGTCATGCACAGTGTCTCGCTTGCATTAACAACATTGTCATTAGTCGAAATCTACACAGTGTCGCACCAAGACATACTGCCAACTTGCCTTGTCTTTGTGTATGATAACTGACCGCATTGGACGGCCTCAAACACTTTCATTCTTGTCCATGGTTCACAGGGAAGTTCATCGGCATGGCTTTTATACACCGCATACTAAGTAATCAAGTATTGATCAAACCGAAAACCACGGTAGTCAAACACATGGAGATAGTGAGGTCTTCCCTGACTCTCTTTCGAACTGGTCACTGCTGTATATCTCGTTAGGGTTGGTGGCTCACACTTAGGTATGCCCTCTCTCTCTTAATCTGACTGAGATTGCTCGTCCACGTGTATGACACATTGTCAAAGGTCCAGTGGCTGACTGATCAAATAGCCAGATATTAAAGATAAATAAGACAGCACCGACATTTGTTTGTCAAGACTAGTGTATTAACTTATAATATTGTCGTAGCTACACCTTGCCCCTTGCTTGGGAAATATGGTTCTTACATTCCATTTTCGGTCCCTTGAAGCTGGCTTACTGTCTCAGGACATGAACTGCTGACCTTACCCGTAGCCGTGGAGAGGTCCTATAAACCAGGTCGACCCATTTCGCCCGGTCGCCTTGACCTGATTTTCAAAGGCACAAACACATATGCACAGATCGATCCTGGGCGACGAATATAGAAGATGCACGTCCTGACAGGACCAGCGGCGAAATATAGGAGATCCTGGAGTGTCGGAAAGAATAAACACACACATACACATATACAGAGCTGCAAGAACAACGAGGCATAGTATTGTTAAAGCTCGCATGTTCTCTGGTTCATGATGATTTAAATAGGCTGACTGGGGCAATAAGCATCGGGTTTCTGCTCTAAGGCATGTTGGCGGGATGGCATAAAAAACCAGGTTTACAAGCAGCTCTTCAGCCCTTTAGGATGCAAAAATGCGGGCACTGATGAGGGACGTCCCGAGGTTTCAGTCCTTATATTTCTCATTCCTGTATATATGGAGAGGAGGTCTAACCGAATGTCCTATGATATAAACAACAGAACTTTATGTCTGGTAAACGCACCAGGCACAGTTCTTCTAACGATACTCTATATACTTCTTCCATATCTACGAGATCAGTTTTGTATACGTTTGAATTAGCCTAACAGGGATTAGGCGGTGTGAGGTTTGGAATCTCGAAAGGTATTGACATGTTCTAGGACCTCGATACCCTGAAATGTCGCAGAATGATCAAGTATCCAAAAAAGACAAAAAAGAAATGTACTGTGGAGAAGATGGTGCTCGAAACCATGACCTTTCGCATGCAAAGCGAACGCGCTACCGCTGCGCCACATCCCCTAGTGCATGTAGCATCAACTCTTCTAGGGGTTTATAATGCTGAATTGATCTGAGATCCTCCTAACCCTATGTGGAGGGAACCCACGCCTCGCTTCGGAGGAGCCTGAGTATCCCCTACCTACTCTGTCACCTTGTCCCTTTGCTTTACCAGGTCCGTCTGGAATGGCAATCCAGCTTTCCTCCGCAAAACTCCATACATGGACGAAGAATCAAGGGGTCGATCCTCCGCCTCAGAAAATGTTTTGGCCTCCTGCAGGTGCTCCAGCGCCACCTTACCCACCGGCAACTCCACGCCGGCCTCACTTGCACATGAGATCCCATGACCAACATCCTTGAGTGCGAGATTTAGGTCCGACCACGGCCGCTCCCCCTTGGCTGGCAAGTACGCCCCAGTAGTCAGTCGCTTGGACATGGACAGGGCCAATGGACCGTACTGCTGCTCGATAAGAGACTCCATGGCCTCGCCGCCGAGTCCCGTCTTCTCCGCGAAGACGTGCGCCTCGGCCACAACTTCCATCATCGCAGCTGTCATGAAGTTTCTAGTAACCGGGGCACGTCAGCGCGTATGTCTAGTCGACATGGCATAGGAGGGGGTCAGTCCGTGTGAGCTTACCCTGCTGTTTTCAGCAAACTCGACTGTTTTACGTCCTCCCCCAGGCGTATAACCCCCCTGCCCATGACCCCAACCAGAAAGGGACTGATGGTCTGTATCGCCTCGTCCGGCCCGGCCAGGATGAACAGCAGCTTCCCCTGGGCCGCCACTGGACTCGCGCCAAAGACGGGCGCGGCGATGAGCCTCGCGCCCCTCTCGGCCAGACGGGCCTGGGCTGCTTCCGTTGATGTGGGATGGACCGTCGAGGTGTCCACGATGATCCTGTCCGACAGGTCGGCCTCGATGAGGCGGTGCAGCGTTGATTCTAGGGCAGAATCATCACTTAGGGACAAGAATATGATATCGGACTTCGCCGCGAGGTCGGCTACGTCCTTGCAGGGGGCACCGCCGATGGCCTCTAGTGGCTCGCCCCGGGACAATGTGCGATTGTAGTACTGAAGGTTCGGCGCGGCTGTCTTGGATAGGTGCTTCTGGAGGTTTATTGCCATTCCGAGCCCCATGGACCCGAGTCCTGCGGAAACAATCTCAGAATCTCCTGATTTATTGGGGTGAGGACGCTGAACCAAAACACTAGTCACTTACCAATCCATCCCAGTCTTGAGTGTTGATGCGCCATGGTGGTCTTCTCGTTATCTCTAGCTTTTTCTCCAGACAATAAGCACATTGATGCCAGGTATGTACGGCGGGAAGAGAAGTCAAGCCTTTTTATTCATCGGTCCTGGTAAGGACGAACGTGTGATGTGTGAGTCGGCCCGAAGACAACGCATGTTGGTTGCCGGATGAGTCTTTCGAAGCCCCTGAACCGGATTTTTGGCCGGCAACCGCATGGATATAAGCAGAACTGCGGATAATTTATCGTGGCGTCTGGCTTTGGTGTATGTACATATATAAACTGTATGTGAAATTATGGGAAAACCGTTGACGACGTTAATGGCATTTGTCGATTTCCAAGAGCACGCTCGGAATTGCATAATCCCAATGTAAATTGCAGGGACTAGAAACGTTTTTCGATTATGATATGGGTGACCACAAGACGCATCACTGTGTGTAACCATCGAATGGATGTTGATTATTGATTGACATCATGTGTTGTTATCGATGTATTTCAATCTAAGCAGCAGCAAGGCAAGGCCGGTCATTACCGCTTTAGGTGATCAGTTACTAGGTTATATCCCCATGTGCAGTATTCAATTGTTGCCTCTCGATTCCTATGGATAGGTTTATAGCGCTCTGTTCATGGTTACATCTACATCACTTGGCGGCTGGTAAGCACTGATCATAATCTAAGGGAATGATTTGGTTTGATTATAGCTATGACACAGTTCAGAAGCTAAGGTTGAGTCTCATAGTCCACCTCCGCAATCTGCTTGACTGAAGAGCAACTTCCTAAACACCCATGCAATGCTGAATAAATGCTAAAACCCTGGCAAGCCCGTCATTCATGTCGTAATGCTCATCTCCTTGTGTGAGACGTCGTCCATTGATTATTAAGAGTAGGGAGTGAAGTGGAGATCATTGTGATGATCAAAAGAACAGTTTGTTTGGCAAGGCCAGGGGGCTTTTGTTGAGGTCGTGATCCGCGAGCTTAGTTGATGTTGATACGGCGGGTCTCGTGCTTCTTGGCCTTTGGGACCACGACGCTCAGGACGCCATTGTTCAAGTTCGCAGAGACAGCCTCCTGGTCGACGCGGGTCGGGAAGCTGAAGGTCCGGGAGAACTCGCCAACGGAGCGCTCAGAGACCCAGAACTTCTCAGCGGGCTTCTTCTGGACCTGGACATGCTGGCCCGCAGGGTGCTCGGTCTTGGTGACTTCGGTGGAGGCGCCCTTGGCCCCTTCATCCTTCTCGTCCTCGACGCTGGCCTTGTGGGAGTGGTTGTCCTTCTCGCCCTCCTCGGTGATGGCGCCGCTGACCTGGGCGCCACCCTCGACGAGGCCGGCGGGTGGCGTGCCGGAGGTGTAGTGGCGCTCGGTGCGGCCCGAGATGACGATGGTCTGTGGCTCGGTGAACTCGATGTGGACGTTGTCCTTCTCGATTCCGGGGAGTTCACCGTGGAGCTCGTAGGCATGCTCCGTCTCCTTCACATCGAAGCGGGGAGTGAAGGTCTGAATGGAGCGGCGAGCACCATGGCCCTGGCGGGTGTTCTGGGTGGCGGTCTCCTGGGAGAAGTTTTCGAAGTCGTTCAAGAGGCGGAAGAGAGGGGTGAAAGAGGCCTCAGGAGAGAGGTAGGATCGTGGGAAGAACGACATTTTGGTTGTGCTAGAGTGTTTGGCGAATACGGTTGGTGGTGTTGTGTGGTTGATGAAGTGCGATGTGTTGGAGAGTTCACTTTGTGATTGCTTTGGTTGATTGCTTTGCGTGTTTGCTTTGTGCTTGTTGATTGATGACTGATGATGAGGAGAGGCAGGTCAGGTAAGTGAGAGTTTCGTGGCAGTCTTATACTTGTGAGGTGCGACGAAGACAAGCATCTCGGGCCTTCCGGAAATTCAGAGAAGACGCAACACTACGTGATTATCACGAGGTTTCGAATGCTGTGGTACTGCATAGTAGATGGTAGACGTTTCTACGGCTACTTCGAAAGATGATATGCATCATGCAGCTGAGGAAGCACCTGCCAAGTTTTGGTGTGAGAAAGAAGATGCTAGATGTTGTGGCGATGAAGCTCTCACCACCTCGCACTAACGAGAAGTCGCTGGAAGCTTCTAGCAAGATTGTTAGGGGACGACCTCGCAATCAACGCCGGGGCTAACAATCTGCAGCTGCCAGTGAGCAGAACTGAGAGATACGTATCACACACCAAAGCATTACTTATAATCTGGTATCCTTCAACCTAAGTCCACATTTCTCCAGTGATTGTAGTGCAGTGCATGATGTTCGATGTTCTTCCGTCAGTCATTGTTGACGGTGGAAGGTACACGACGGGAGGAAAGGGTTAAACCCAAGAGTCTTCAAACCTTCCCCTTTCCACGGCTTGAGCAAACATCCAATGAGCTGAACAGATCAGGGGCAGGAAGCATCATGAACGTTCCACGACAATCGCAGCAGTCAACATCCAACATCCAACACGGCAGGGCGTCTGTCAAATGAACTACAGACAGCTGCATGCACCATAACCAACGCCACACCTTCGGAATGTAACCCTTAACGGGACCACCATTGGGTATACCTAGGTCAGCCACAAAGGGTGCAGTCTCTACGTTTCAAGCCACAAGCTGCCGGACCATTCATCTCGACGTCCTTGAAGTTTGCTAGCATTCGCCACTCCGTCCCGGCCGTCCGTCCGTCTACCTACCACTCTGCCCTGTCGTCGTCACCGGGTGCAATATTTCTCTCATTCCCGGTGTTTAAGCCTCTCGCCACCGGCTTTGTCAGGTCGTCAATAGGCCATCATGCTGACCCAACAGAGGCAGCACTAGGCGGACGCAGCCACATGCCAAAACCCCATCTTGCGAAATTCGGGGAAGCCAGCCAGATCAACAGAGGCACAATCGTGTTGTCTCAGGTTACACCCCCATTCCCTCCCCCTTTCTAAGGAGCGGACTGTGGCAGGTGAGCTCAGGGCGATGGAAGACGAGTTGACATTTTCTCAAGGTTGTACTTCGTCCAAGCAGTGGGCTACTATGGGGTGAGTTGGGTCATTTGAGAAGCCGCATGCCACTGCACAGTTGAGATATGTCTCGTCCTGGATAGTATATTTGACACAGTCCCCAAGCCCTTCCGTGACATTGAGTGACCTGCGCTATGTCCGCTATCCACAATTATTTTCCCCATTGTTATAGATTCCTGAAGGCTACATCCACGCAGCTTCACTATACCCAATTAAGATAACCATTGTCCTCCGTACCCAAATAAGAACACAACTGCATATGATGAAGGCCTGACGTCCAGGCAGATTGTGAAACATGATATCGATGATCGCTCGATATAAATCAGAACCATCAAAGAGGAACACGGCTGATGGCTCATCGCTGCCCACATCTATTGTGAGATTATGCCCCATCCATCATGGGAACGGGCACTAACATGCCTCCGGGGGAAGATGTCGTCCGAGTCAATCCTATGCATAAGGCGGTGGGTATCCCATAAGCATAGGTTGCTGCATGGGAAAATGTCCCATTCCACCTCCCATGGGCCCTCTTGGGGCGGGGTTGTTGTGATTCTTGTTGAACAGGCCGATGAGTCGGCGTCCGACCGAAGGCTCGAGCTCTGTACCATCCCTGGCGATCTTGACCTCCCTATTCGAGTTCCAAGGGTTACGGAGGCCTCTGCAACGGTAGAAAGGCAACCGTGTCGTACACTGCCACTCTAACTTGAATGGCTTGCCCCAGGTCCTACTCTCGGGCCCACCATCGCCGCCGGCGCTGGATTCGTTGTCGTGGTCTCCAACG